TTACGACACGTTTTGCCGATTGCCACTTTTATGAAAATGAATTTCCTGTGTTGAGGAGGAGGATCTAGAGAATCACCAAAAGATAGAAAAAAAAAGTGTATATAAATTTTGGCTTATCTCGATCCTCCTAACAAGAAACGTGAGGTGGAGTTCATAAAATTGTACATTTGCAAAGTTTGGAAAACCAGTTACTTGATGCATTCAATGATATAAGATGGGTGACGAAATCATATATCCCCGTTGCTAATGCTCCATCAAAAGAAATGTTCCAGAATAAATTATTGACAAGAATAGAGCAACTGAACTGCGGGTTCAATTAAAGCGCGGGAGACCGATGGGCTTGTAAGATAAAAATCCCCTCTTGAGTGAAATGGTTCGAAAAGAACCATATAGAAAAAATGTCCTGAAGACATTTGTAAAAAAGTTTCAGAAGAACCATATAGAGGAAATGTCTTGAAGACATTTTTGAAAAGGTTCCTGAAGAACCAAATAAAGATATATGTCCAGAAGACATATATTAATGGGTTCCATAAGAATCATATAAAGAGATTCGTCTAGAAGACAAGCATGACTGCACTCTTTTTCCCTTATCATGGTTTGTTCCAATGGGTTTTTCTATGATAAAGTTTTTAACGAGGCAACAATGAACACGCAAAATATAGACTTCCAAAGGGGAATACTTCCAGGAAGAAAAGTATGATGATATGCATAGATGTACTCTTTTTCCCTTACCGTGGTTTTTGTCCCACTGAATTTTCCATGATGAGATTTTTAGCGAGGCATCAAAGAATACGCAAAATAAGGACATCAAAATGTTGTAGAAATCCAGATTCATCAATCAAAGAGAGAGAGAGAGAGACGCCGTCATCTAAGCGTTCGAAGAAAAAGAAGAATATATATTTTTTCCATGGAGAGCGTTACTGCACTTTTTTTCTCTTGTTATTATTTTTGTCCCAAACAGATTAACGAGACAGTATGCAATATATTGGTAATGATGGATAAGCAAGGGGGAGTGTTGAAAATGGATATGATTATCCAAATTACCAACTCATCTACTTACTTACCCTCTAAGGCTTACCTACCCCTTAAAGATTTACATGCTTACCAACTTCCCATGAGTTTATAATATATTATGTTGTATAAATATGTTTACTCTCGTTTTCTCTCTCACACTTACTTTTACTATTTCATACTTTTAAATTTAAGTTTGGAAAAAAATATTTTATTTTAGGATATTCATCAATTAAAAGTTTAAAATAAATAAATAAAACAAATTAAGAATATTAAATCATTAAGTTTTTTTGTTTTATTTAATGTTTAGGATTAGGTTTTATTTGTTTTATTCTTAATATATTTTATATTTTATATTTTTTTAATTGTTTAATATAAATTTGATATTTTGTATTTTTTTAAATGCAATATTAGATGTCACATTCTTATTGTTTAAAATAAGAGGTGGCGAATAAAAAGATTCACCCCTAAGAGTGAACGTAAGAGTTTTTCATACGTATTTGTGTAGTGAATTGCTGACATGTCAGTTCCACAGTGAGTTTCAAAATGTTTTGCTTACGTGTCAGCTCTACAATGAGTTCTGACTGCAAAAAAAAAAATTTTACCCTATTTTCCAGTTTAGTTTAATTTTTTTATTGGTTCTTATTTGATGATGTGTAAAATTAACTTTAAATATACCGCTCTAAATTATTATGGTTTAATGCTTCATTCGATTATCAATCAAACCATTTTTCAAATTTAATATATCCAATATTTAGTAAAAATTAACAAAACCTATAACATTAGCTATTTACAAAATAAAGAAATAGAACGCTTAAGCTCTATGATATGGAATAAATTGAACACCAAATATAACACCAAATTACCAAGGGAACTCGGAGGTGAATATCATATGAACCTATACACCAGTTTCTATGAACCTATACACTTTCCAGTCTCAAATTCACTCGCCGAGTTCAAGTATTCTCACCTAATCCCTTGTTCCATATGGCCAAGAATTCTCAACTCTGGATTAAATCGGTGATATTTCATCACTATACTTTTGTTTTGTTTGTTCCTTATAGTATTAAATGGATTCGGTTCATGTTGTTTATGAAAAGATTTTATGTTATCATTTTGTTTTTGATCGTGCCTTCTTGTGTGATCATTATTTGATCCTTTCTTAATTTATTAAAAAATGTTTTTTACATTAATTTTATTTTTGCTTTACGATATATTCTCTACTACACTTGCTGCAGTTTTTTTTTCTCTTATTCACTTGCGCGGTGCTTGGCTTTACTTGAGCCACTTAGGCGTTAGCCGAGAATCCAGCTGTAACTCTAGAGATACAAATAATATACTGTTTTCATGATCGTGATTTTTCCTTTAGTATTGTCTACTAACTTCTATAAAGCATTAATTTATATGTTTAGATCATCTTACGGTGTAGAAGATGGTTAAGTTTCATCTTAAAAGGAACTGAGTGGAGGCGATAAGATATCACAGGATGGGAAACAAACATGTGATGACCCTGATCTCAAGGACAGTTTGCTTCGCAAACTCGGAAGGCGAATCAGTTCTTTAAATTTAGATTTTTCAAAGAAAAGAAGAAATGAAAGCTACAGAGAGAAGCTCTACTCTGCTGGTGGAATGTTCATTACAAATTTACAAGTGTTCTTACCCTAATGTAAGGCCAAAACACACTATGTTCATCGAACCAACCATAATTACAATAATGGGAGTTAATAGTTAATGTCGTCGTCTCTGCCATATAACGTTCTCATTAAAACCTCTGCTGCGAACACCACCTCCACTTCAAACATCTCGGTTCCTTTCTCCTTTAACTAAAAAGTGTTCCTCTGCTTTCTCTTCTTCATGTTCCTGCAGTTTTTGAAAAAAAAAACCGAGTATTAATGAACGTTTGTTCATCCTATATACTTTGTGTTACAGGTGTTACAGCGTATGTGTTTCTCTATCTACATGTCTCTAAAGATAAGCTTTTAATGTTTAAAAGTGGTTTTAGTTTAGTGACTTTTTATGAGTCCAGACACCAGAATATGAACTTCAAGAGAGGAAAAGTAGGAGACAACCCTTATGCGGAAGATAGTGCAATCAAAGAGTATGCAATCCTCTTTGAGGAGATAAAATAGAATGAATTTGAGATATGAGATCGTCAGAAGAAGAAGAACCCTCTCGAAGATAAAAATTTAATTGTTTTACCTTTTGGTTCAAGTCACATATTTTGTTTTTTAATATATTTGGTGTCTCGTGGTTTTTTTTTGTGTGTTGATTCTGCATGATGATGGAATCGAAGTGAGAAAGAAATCACTTGGTGTAAGGCAGTTCGGTGTTAATGTTGCTGCTGCTGCTCATTGCAAACTTGATTCTTTGTTGCAAACTTCATTAAAGCACAAATAAGGAACCAATCACATCTTTCTTACAGGCTTTTCTTTGAATTATTTCATGGAGATTGTACTAAATATAATCATTTCATTTGTGGTTTTCCTAAATTTGGATAAAATTTTACAAGTTAGTATTCAATGGCTTTGACAAGGCTCTCAATCATGAAAAAATATATATTATATATTAATAAATATTTCAAAAGAAAAGTTGGACACCTAGGTTTGGCCGCTCTCAAGACTTTCCTTTTCCGCATCCTGCAAGGTTCTTCGTCCCCGACCATGGGACCGCCGCCGCCGGTGTCGGGACCGTCTGGTGCTGATCCACCCTCTTCGCCAAAGATCTCCAGCTCCTCTCAGTTGCCTTGGTCAGCGATCCTCTCAGATCAAGTGTCGCCAAAATCCGGTCAGATTGCCTCGCAAGTGGTTAATGGAGTAGCCACTGCTACAATACCGAAAGATGTCCTTGAGAATTCCCAGCCGTTGTGGACTAACTATGTGGTGAGCTATTTTATCGGTGATGCCCCACATATTGGCAAGGTTCACTCCACTGTTAACCGTATATGGACGTCGTCGGAGAAGTCCATGAAAATCGATGCTCAGTTTCTTAATCCGAAAACTGTTCTTTTCAAGATCGACAATGCCCAAACCAGATCCCGCGTACTTCACAGACATTTCTGGCATATTTTTGATGTTCCAATGGTGGTGCAAGAGTGGAATCCTTGAACTTCCAGTCTCAAGCCAGATCTCTCGTCCATGCCAATATAGGTGGATTTGAAAGAAGTTCCAGATCATCTTTTCTCGCATAAAGGACTGATGTTTCTTGGAAATCTGATCGGTGATGCAAAGAAATTGCACCCAAACACTGAGAGATGTATCCAATTGGATATGGTTCGTGTTTTGTTGGTTGTTAATCTGGAGAAACCGTTGCCGGAAAAAATTCATCTTCAATCTGATCTGGAGATCACTATTCCTGTGTCTTACCGATGGCTCCCTCCACGATGTATTCTATGCAACTGCTGGGGTCATACTGACAAATAATGTGAGCAGATGCGAAAGGGATCAATAATTCCGGCTGATAGAAGTGCAGAACATATTCGGTCAAGTCCGCAGAAAAATGGAGATACAGTAAGCAAGGGTGATCATGTGGAAAATGTGGAAAATAACACACCCACGGTTGCACAAGAGGAAGGGACTGAAACGCCCCAAACGGAAGTAGCATTGCAAAATGCTGTGATGTTGATCCCGGAACAGAGCTCAGATCAGAATGCAAATGCAGAGGTGGTTCAGGAGAAGGTGTGGACAATGGTAACAAATACGGGGATGAGATCACCAGCGAAAGCTAAAGATTTGGGGGTTCTACCAAAAATCTCCAAGTCAAACTCCCATACGGGTTTCAAGATTCTTGAGTAAATGATAGAAACATAGTGTAATGAGGAAACTAATGAAGGAGACTCTGCCCAGACTTGTTCGGTACTGTTTCCATACTTGTTCGTAATTGCCATCAACGTCTTCTCCTTGTTACCAAACAAAGTGGCGAACAGTGGGGCTATTGGTTTCCACCCTATGTGTCGAGATACTCAGCTGACCCATCTCAGTTTTTCGGACGACATGCTAGTGTTCATGGATGACAAAGAGAGGTCGCTTAGAGGGGTTATGGAATTTTTGAGGGAGTTTGAGAGAGAAGCGGGGCTAGTAATCAATGTCTCGAAATCTTCTCTGTTTGTGGCGGGTAGATTTGATCAATCTCTCCTCCAAACTGCTTTGGAGCTTGGTTTTCCGTTGGAACAACTGCCTATTAGATACATGGGTTTACCTCTCACGACGAAGAGTATGACTAGACTGGATTATGAGCCGCTGAGCCGGTGATAGATCGTATTTGCACATGTATGGTCTCTTGGTCCTCCAAATCTCTCTCCTTTTCTGGGCGTCTGCAACTTATTCAATCCGTCATTACCAGTATAACAAACTTTTGGTGCGCAGCTTTCCGTCTCCCAAAGCGCTGCTTCTACACTATTGAAAGCATGTGCTCAGCTTTCCTTTGGTCTGGATCACCTCATGATTCCTCTAAAGCAAAGGTATCATGGAATGACGTCTGTAGACCAAAGACGGAAGGAGGTCTAGGAATTCGACGAATGCACGATTCTTCTCGAGTCTTTGCGTTAAAGCTGGTTTGGCGATTATTCACCAGCCCACAATCGTTATGGTTCAGTTGGACTCGCCATTATCTTCTCTGCCACTCATTGTTCTGGGAAATTCCTGAGGGATCTAGGGGCTCTTGGATATGGAGAAAATTGCTGAAGCTCCGTCCGATAGCGGCGCCTTTTATTCGTCACATCATTGGAAATGGAGAATCCACCTTGTTCTGGTTTGATAACTGGCTGAATATTGGGGGACTTATTGACATTATTGGTGATGCTGGAACGAGGGTTTTGGAAATTGATCGTCAAGCTATGGTTTCTGCAGCGGTGCAAAATCAGACATGGAGAATTCATCGATGCAGAGGAGAACACTTGCAGGCGATTTTAAGCAGCATCAGGTCTTTGCCAGTTCCGAGTGCATCTGATGGCTCGAATATGGTCTTATTGCGTCATGATATTAATGAATACAAGGAGCACTTCTCCTCTCGAGCAACGTGGGATCAAATCAGAGAGCCTCGCCAGACTGTCTGGTCGAACCAACTGGTGTGGTTCTCTCAAGCCATTCCTCGTCATGCCTTCATCGTGTGGTTAGCCGTTCGTGACAGACTAGCTATGGGGAGCAGAATGAGGCAATGGGGTTTAGTGCAAGACTGTCTGCTCTGTGGAGAAAGGAACGAAAGCAGAGATCATCTGTTTTTTGCTAGCCCGTACCTTTTACGGTATGGAACTGGCTAGCTTCTGTGCTCTTGAAAGGCAAAACGAACCCTGACTGGGAAATCACCATCTGCTCTGTTGCGTGTCATCAGAGGACCAGATCGGACTACATTCTGGCTCGTTTGGCACTACAGGCTTCGATCTATGGTATCTGGAGAGAGAGGAATGGACGGCGACACCAGCGACCTCCTCGTTCCGCTCTCATGCTCACTCATGCGATTGATCGGGATGTCTGCAACCGCCTCAAATCGCTTGCAACATCCCACGAAGAAGAAGACTCGGAGTTATTGACCCATTGGCTGAGTATGCGAGGCCCTCTTCCCAGATGAGCTGATGCTCTGCTTTAAACTCACTGCTCTGTTTTCAAGTTGTAGCGCTGTTGTCGGGGGCTAAAAAGCTTCCCTTCTCTTCTTAATTTTATCCTTGTAAATAACTCTCTTCGATGATCAATTAATATTATATTTCAAAAAAAAATATTCCAAAATTAAACAAGATTAATATTGAATGTTATTTATGCACAGATTTGTAATCAAGTAATTAAATGTTGATTTTGTGATCTATTGTGACGACAACATATATATGAAAAATTTAAATTTTATATACATTTTCAAATTTCAGTTACAGTATGTGTATGCTATGGAGTTCATATTTTCTAACTATGAAAATTCAGCAATTTTAATAATTTCTATTCATTGCATGATCCATATGATAGCCAAAAAAAACCCTCCACAAATCACAGAGAACAAATAATTTTTTTTTGTTACCATTGTATAAGGAACAACTGTGGATAAAATTATGGATTTTGTTTCATACAAAAATTCAATAAAAAAAATTATACATTGAAAAATATTGATAATATATTAAAATTGGTGTATGCTGCCAGTGTTTGATTTATGCATAATTTGATAGGTTTTAGCATGCATTTTACTTAGCATTTTATGTCTCATGCATGCATCCTTGTAGATTTCTAAGGGGTTTTGTCCATTTTATGGCATAATAGGTTTTGCATTAAGTCCTTGTGTGTAAATGCATGTTTGGAGTTTTTATCAGGTGCCATGGAGCTGTTTATGAGTAAAGGAGTGAAGATCAGTGGAGAGAATGTGGAAAAAGATGAAGAAATGATCAAAAATGATGTTCCAGCCATCTGGTGTACCATCGGAGGTCATGTTTCTCGGCCAAAAACATGTACCGCAGTACAGAGCTCTCGGCCAAAACGTGTACATACTTCTCGGCCAAAAATTCAAACTTACCAATACGCTTCAAATATCGGCCCACTGGAAAGCCTTCCTTTCCGATTCAGCTTCTGGTGCCTTCATCAAATATCAAGAGGAGTGATTCCAGTTTCCAGAACACTTGGAGTTAGAAGCTTTGGAGCTGCGAGCTGGAAGATATCGCAAACGGAAGAAGAACATGTCTCGGAGCCATTCTGAACTAGTGCAGTGCGCCTCAAAGAACTGCTTACCGGAAAGCCTTTCCGGCCTCAGATGAAGTCGGGTCCTTCACCAAAGTTTTAGCGGATTGATCTCGATGACTTGGTCTTAAGTTATTTGGATTACCGAGCTGAAAGATATCGCAAGCGGAAAACAGACATGTCCCACAGCAAGAAACCGGATCCTCCTGAGCTGATGCAAAGATGGTTAACCGGAATGCCTTTCTCACTCTGGATGCATTCAAGCTCTTCATCAAAGTTCTATAAATTGAGTGGCCTTCCCTCTGAAGTTTGTCTTGACTCATTTGGATCAGTATCCAAGAAGTTATGGTGCCTCAAGTGTAAACTGGTCCGAGTAAAAATTAAATGCGGCAACTTGGTGCTGCGACTTGCCAACCGGAGCAGGAATAAAAGCATCAAAACTTATGATTCACATCAGGCTGTGAGATAGGGCTGTGTGTAATCTAAGCAGCAGCAAGAGGGAACTTCACCTTGACCTAAGAACTCACTTCAAGCTGCAAGTTGAATGCTGCTGGTGGGCCAAGACGCAGCAAGGAGGAGCAGCACCAGACCAAACAACTCGCTTCAGGCTGAGAGTTGAAGGCTGTGAGTGAGGAGAAGAGAGCCAGGCCGCAGCAAGAAACATCCAAACAACCAAAACCGTGTCAGTACCCAGTTTGTTCTGGGCTGACCCTGTTCAAACCCAGCTAGTATAAATATGTTTTAGGGTTTTTTTTTTCTAAAGAACTATCATTCATTCTCTCTAGTTTTTTGCCTCTTTTGTGAAAGTTTGTTAAGAGATACCTCGTTTTGGATCAAATCAGAACTGTTTCTTATCATTCTCTTCTTCTTTCCTATCTTGTTTATCATGTTTAACACCACCTCTTGCAAAAGGTTAGGTGTGTTAAGTATGATTAGTGAGTAGTCTTCTTTTAAGCTTCTAGGTGTGTAGATTAGGATGCTTAGATGTTTGATTTATGATGTTTAGGTTCTAGATTCTTATTTCCTTTCCTTAGTTAGCTGCTCTTAATGCTAGATCTTTGATAATCACCCTGACCTAAGGCATTTCTCTACCTACAAAGTGTTTGATGAAATGCCTGAATGAGCTAACTTAAGGGTTTATGTTTTAAATGTCATGAGAATGTTTCTTTGAAACATAAATGACATTTTACAACAGGTTATTAATGCATATTGATCATCATTACCACTAATGAGAGTTAGGTTTGAATGTTGATTAGTATAGTGATTATTGTCTTGAGAAAGAAATGATCTTGCTTTGAGTTCTAAGTTAATTGGATTTAGACATCATGTGATGCTTGCTATGTCTTTCTGTATAAAATTCAGTCTATCTTAGCTCTTATTTTGATGCACAAAGAGGCTGTTTTTGGTCATATTAAACTTGGAACTTTATGCTTGTTAATTGCTTATTCACTAATGGGAATTAGTCTTGATTAGATAGATATCAAAGGGATTTTATCATGTGAATGAATTAATCTGATTTGGAAGTCTAGACTAAAGAATAGCAAGTGTCTCATTGTTTGCTTAGCATCATGAATTAGCATTGAAAGCACCCTGATCAATGATCACATCTAGAAGCTTACTTTATCTTATTTTGAATTTGAGTCTTTGTTAGCTTTGTCTAGTTTTTTATCTATTTTATCATCATAGCTTGTTTATTTTTGATAGTTTGTTCCTGTTTGATCACGATGTTCAGAAAAAAAAGTTCTTGTTTGATCACAACTTGTTTTATTATACTTGGATTCCGAACTGATTTATCATGTTCTAGTGCCTAGATAATCTTCATTTGGATTGATACCTCAAATATTATAATGATATGACTAGTTTGAATAATTGGGTTTGAACCTGAAAGCTCTTACTATCAATATTTGTTTTTACGAAATTTCCAATGCTATGAATCTTTGATTCTATCAATCTCCAACTTAACGGAGCCAATGAATATGTTGAAACACCAACATTAAAACACCGTCATGGTTTCTACCTCTCTTTTCCACTACATCTATTCTATTAAAACAGAAGCACTTTTAGGACTTGCTTCCAAAAACTCCTGAATTTTTTTTTAAAAAAAATTTGTTTAAAAACAGTTTTTAAAATTATTCTAATTTAATGTAATATTATTTTAAAATATTTTTTTCTTTTATATATAAATTTTAATTCCGAAAGTTAGATATGAATTTAGATATCTAAAGATTTCCTTAAATTTAGAATATATTTAATTTAAAATTCAAATTATTTACTATTTTGTAATTAAATTTAATTCTGAAAAATAAAAAATAGATATTAACTTAAATTACTTTAGACTTTTTTAAATATAGGTACGATTTAATTTAACATTTGAAATTCAAATAATATTTTCATAATAACACATATGATTAACAAATACTTTTGTACATTTTTTTAATCATATTCAATCAGACTAAAATTTCACATATTGAAAACTGATAAATATTAATATTATATGATAATTTGATGGCACGGGTTAGATTTTGATTTATAATTATGGTTTTATGCGAGTTATGTTATCAAAACTTCAAGATATCAAGATAAAAATTATTTTCAAATTAGTAAATATTTATATTATATAGTGATATGAATGGGCATGTTAGAATTATGGTTTAATAACCACGGTCTTTTCGGATTAATAGAATGAGTGAGTTAGAAATAAATTTTTATAATGGCGGTTATTTTTTGATTAATAGAATGACAGGATTAGAATTATGTTTTTATGATCCACAGTTTGTCCTGGGCTGACCCGGTTCAAACCCAGCTAGTATAAATATGTTTTAGTGTTTTTTTTCTAAAGAACTATCATTCATTCTCTCTAGTTTTTTGCCTCTTTTGTGAAAGTTTGTTAAGAGATACCTCGTTTTGGATCAAATCAGAACTGTTTCTTATCATTCTCTTCTTCTTTCCTATCTTGTTTATCATGTTTAACACCACCTCTTGCAAAAGGTTAGGTGTGTTAAGTATAATTAGTGAGTAGTCTTGTTTTAAGCTTCTAGGTGTGTAGATTAGGATGCTTAGATGTTTGATTTATGATGTTTAGGTTCTAGATTCTTATTTCCTTTCCTTAGTTAGCTGCTCTTAATGCTAGATCTTTAGATCTTTGATAATCACCCTGACCTAAGGCCTTTCTCTACCTACAAAGTGTTTGATGAAATGCCTGAATGAGCTAACTTAAGGGTTTATGATGTTTAGGTTCAGCATGTACTCTCCAAGAGTAACATCATCGGAAATGTCCTCAGAGCTGTCACCAGTGCGACAGCTTCTTCGGGATCTGTTTTGTTCCATTTTTCCTACAAGACGAGATGATTCTTGGAAAAAGTTTGAATATGGATGCTGATTTTAACACATTAGCAATCAGTTATACTAATCATAGTATCAAAGGATTAGTTAAAACCACAAGCAGACATTGAATCGAAGAAATTGAGTAGTTCATGACTAGATTCGGATTTTTGATGTTCTCAACATAGAAATCTTCTAAAAATCGGTTTAAGTGAGCAATTTCCATGTCAAATCTATAGGTTACCTAATACTAATCACTAATCACACAAGACTAAATCAAATTCAAAAATTTTGCTGTTCCAAATTCGTTTTTTATAAAGCATGTAGAATCCAAATTTCAAAAATCTCAATTCTTCTTAAGCTAAGGTGTTTAAATCGATTTTCAGATAACCTAGAAGGATAATCTATTGTTCTTAAGCTATTTCCACCATCAATAAACCAAGATTTGGGCTTTTCAAGAAAACTATAAACTCCAAAATCAATTAAAAATGGCGAGTTTGAGCTTCATACCTTGCTGGAAAGAGAGATTTGATGATAGATTTGAAACCAGCTTTGAAAAAGAGTCAGGTTTGGGCCAAGAATTTCTTAAAAAGCTTA